AAAAAAAAAAAAAAAAAAAGAAAAAGGCGAAAAACAAACACTAAATTGGAAAACAATAATAGTTACGAATGGCAAGGTCTTTGATATTAGAGGATTTGCGGTCAATAGCTGTGATCTGCCATGCTGAGAGTCCTCTGAGGCTGACCCATTATATTTGTTGACTTACGATCAACGAGAGAGCAATTTATTGCTGTTTTTATTGAAAATAGCGGTAGAATAATTTCGAGAAATGGTCGAGAAATATTTAAATTTCACCCCTTCATTTATCCAGTGCGACGGCGTCTGTAGAAAGTTTTAACTAAAAGTCTGAAAATGCAATCTCACCAGCTGCGTCAGAATTCACATTATACGAAATATAGCTGATGACATGAAAATAAATCAATAAGACTTATATAATAAAATTTTGACTGCCGGTAACGCCGAACATATTGCTTTCTTGTGTGGGATGTGAAAGGTTGTTATAAAATGGTTTTGGCTTAAGTGTTAAAAGGTGTTAGACTGAACCAAATAAAATAAAGAATAGCAGCAATTTGCTTACCTTGTGTCGTAACTGTAGGCCAATAATAACAAGTCCCCCAAAGAACAAACACGACGAGTGAAAGCCGCATTGACAGACGACAGCGCGTCATAATCTTCAGAATCGAACTCTTCAGCGAAAAGGTGGAATAAAACTAACGAGCTTGTGCACTTTGTCAATTTATGTTACCAAAGCTCTACCAGCAAAAATCCACAGTCTAGGATATAGATGATATTGGTGTGGGAAGGAAACCCGTTCGCCGACCATTCGATGACCGTCGCTTAAACACTGACGAGCGAAGAAATGAAAAGCGCATGTCACAAATATGTTCTTTTGTTATGCAGTAATTCAATGACATTGATAAAAAGACAGGAAAAAACTGTATGAAAGGCTTTTAGAGTAATCCCTCACTGTTCAACTCTCTTTCAAAAAATGAAGAAACGATCAAGTGAACAGGTAAAACTAGCTGCTTGGCGTAGCTTGAATCGGCGGGGCATTCTGCAACTGCTCCAGATTTTGATAGAGAAGATAAAAACCTGTTTTGCTTCGTTCTGTGACAATTCAGTGTCTCGCCGTCGGATTTTATTGAAAAAAAAAAAAGCACTAACTCAATTAAGCAGAGAAGGTAGTATAGATGTCGTGCTCGATGAAGATCTCACAATACATCGTAAGCCAAAATTAAATTTGCCAAACCCAGAAATAATATTCTTACTAGCAGCCATAAAAACTCCTTAAGAAACACCACAGAAGCTAACAATTACAAGTACTGTGACTAGAGGGGTTTTCAACTGAGTGTCGAAAGTAATACGACAATTACTTTGGTTTTGGTTTTGAATTTACTACGGTTTGAGATTGACTGAGTAGTCTAATAGAAAGTAATTAGTTTAGTTTTGGTTTTACAACACTCAGTTGAAAAACGCTCTAATACAAAATGATCTATTAACACTGAGTTATTGTCCAAACCCTTCATAGAGGGTGTCAATGTGGTGGTGCGTTTTATGCTGGTAAAGATTAACATTATTTTTGCCTTTTTTTACGATTAACGGTTAACTGATTTTCTCTATAGTTAACATAAATATTAGAAATTAATTACCATTGTTGTAAAAGGTAAAGTCTGCATGCGAGCCAAGTGGCACATCAGGCCGGAGCTTATCCCGGTTTCTGTAACATGAAGCGACTAGGAGTATTTCTACTCCCCCCTGGATGGGATGCTAGTCCATCGNNNNTATACACCTGGGTGGAGAGAGGCACTGTGAGAGTAAAGTGTCTTGCCCAAGAACACAACACAATGTCCCCGGCCAGGGCTTGAACCCGGACCACTCGATTCGGAGACGAGCGCACTAACCATGAGGCCACCATGAGTTGTCCTTGATTATTGTAAAACGTCTTTAGGTCTTTGGACAATACCGCGATGGAATATTGGGGTGCTTACCATTTGTCAGAATGAACCAGTTGCGATGACCGTTGAACAATGGTAAGGGTTTTTTCAAAATCAGCAAACCAACCGAGCGAGATGACGCTTATCATTTGCAATTGGATTACTCGTAATTGTTTTCGGGTGATGAGGGACTGGAAACTGGAAAATTTACCAAATTGTAAGGAAATTTTCGTCGTTCCTTTCCGAACGGAAAAAGAGGACTACCTCTGGAGGTAGTCTACAATTTCCGAACGAATTTTCCGTAAAATTATTGTTCCATTTGATTTTCAATGATCCTGAGACCCTCTTCATAACTTCAGGGGAAGTTTAATGGACCAGTCTAGCTTATGTAAAAATTTGCACGATTTATTAAATAAATTACTGGTATTTCACTATATCATGTTGCTGCCTGCTGCAAATCTTGACGGGTGCCTAGTAACGCTTACTTTTCACATTATTTGCAAAATTTAAGAAACAAAGAAACAAGGTTAGGCTGCATCTTTTAATAATAACGACATCTGGAGAATGAGTCCTAGAGAGCATTTCATCAATTGAAATTATTGACT